CCTGTATGATTCTACCATAGTAGTTTGCCTTGTATAAATGAAATACATTTGACTAGAGAAGAGTTGCCCTTGGGCCTTCTAAAGACTCCTAGCACTTTAAAATCTCCCTACAACCATTTGTTTACCATCCTTTGGAAAGAATTACCATCCATTACCATTCAATGCCACAAGCTTTCATGTCCTCACACTTGCAAGTTCCCTGACTTGGCAGCTGGATTTGAACTTGTTTAAAATAGCTCAAGTGAGTCTGTTTACAAGGGGACTAAAAATGAGAAACAAGCCAACATAGCCAAGATCATTTCTCCCCCTGCCCCCGTCTTTAGAGATTTGGAAACATTAGGGATCCAATACTTGGATTCATACTTTCAATTCATCCATTGGAGACTCAAGGCTATACAGAGGCAATGCAGGGTCAGTGGGCTATCTGCAGGGTCACATACCCCCCCGAAGATTTACTGCTTAGTTTGTGCTGAGCATGCTCAATAACACTGCTGAAGCCAGCTGCCCTCACTGCCTCCCCCCTCCCCCCACATCAGCAAGGATGGGTCATTTCTGAGGCTATACTTGTCCCTTAGTGACCAATTCCATCCTTGGTATATCTGTGCAGCTCCTTTGGGCTTCAGTGAAGTAGCATTAGTGGATCTGGTAGGAATTTTGGATCTTTATTGGGCAAGATGAAAGTGTTCCACAGCGATAGACGTTAGAGCTGGGGATGGCCTATTAAGTCGTTGGCCTAGTCTTCCTGTTGATAGTGACTTGTATCCTCCAGCGCTTTACGCAGTTTAATTTTAAAGCAACTTAAATAATATGACTTCTGAGTAATTATTGCTGGGCAGGTGGCAGTACATGGTAATCCTCTGACCTTGGAGGGATCTTTTTTTCACAAGCATGTCCTATTCATGAATTCTCCCCCGCCCACTCCCCTGTGCTGCCTGCCCAGAAGACCTACTGCCTGTTGATATTACACACTCATCTCTTAACTTTCACACTGATCATCTCTAGCATACATGTCTGCTGCGCTTACTGCATGGAAAAATCTCACTGGAACAGTGTTCAAGTTCACATGTGTAACTACTGCAGTATCTCATGGCAGAAATACTGTACAGGAGCTCTTTCTACCCTTCATGGCATTTGAAAGAAGCCAACTCACTAATGTAGGGCAACTGGTAGTGCTTTCTACTGGCCTCCCAAAGTATTCAAGAAGTAAAGATCCACAGTATCTTTTAATGTGTACGTTTTCCTAATTATAGTCACGCCACTAATTTCTCCCATTCATAAGGTATCTTGAGCTGAATAAGCTCAGAGGACAGGGGACTGAAAATATTCAAAAGTTATATGGACAAAAAGACGTGACCCAATACACAGGGCCCCTCGCACACTCCCCTTGGTGAGCGGTTCTTCTCATCAGTAATCCCCATTTGCTTCAATGGAACTCGACAGCAACTACTCAATAGCAGGAATAGGGAGGTCTTTAACTCTGACCCACTACAGTTGCTTAAGCTGCTGAACGGTAAATCATTGGGACTTTTATAAGCTAAGAAGCCCCTCACTTTTGGGCATTTCCCCCATATTTACTCTCTGCCTTGAAAGATAGCCCATTTAATGCACAGAGGGATACTTCCTTTCATGTGCCATCTCTACATAACCAATAAGCAAATTTTACACTTGAAAATCTAGAGTTTGCAACTGATAGGCCAGATCCTCAGCTTGTATAAATATGCCTAGCTCCATTTACACTAGATGACAATCTGGGCCATGGTCTTTAAGGCCTGGTCTACCCACAGTCATACCTATGGAACTAAGGGTTTTATTATATATTGATTTAGTTAAGAGTATAACACACAAAAAGTTGTTCATCACTGTTTAATCCTGGTTTATAGCTGATTAGCTTGCACTGATAAGTTTGCACTGAGCTAAAGACCAGTGACCGGTTTTAAACTCATAAGAATTTATACACAAAAGTTGCACCAGTTTGACTGATTTGTTATATCAGTGCCACTGCTGTGCAAAGACAAAACACTGAAAACTAACATTTCATATTTAGTCAGAACTGGTTTTCTTCTTCTGATCCAGCATTAGGTATAGCTTTCCAATAAGTTTCTTCTTTGATATTACTACTCTGGCCATTCCAGCTCACATTGCAATGAGTCTTTATCATAGCCTTAAAACATATGAATGAAATCTACTGACTTCCTGTCTAACACAGGCCATAGAATTCTATCCAGTAATTCCTGCATCAAAGCTGATAGCAACTCAGATGAAGTTACAACTTTGAAATTGCAATAGTTAAAATGATTTTCCTTTAAAAAACTGAAGATATAAAGATGATATAAAACTGTGAATGTCAAGATTGAAAATAATTGTAAAACTATAAAAGGTTGTTATATTGCCACTGTCCAGCTTTTTATTTGTCACCAAAACATTTTCAAGGTGTGTATCTTTTACTGGGATGACATGAGGCATGCACCTCTCGTCTCTCTCTCTCTCTCTCTCTCTCTCGAGAGAGAGACACACACCATATACCCATCAACATTCCACTCAGTAAGAGGATATTTTAAGCACATACAAAGCAGTGCACAGCGTACCATAGCTATGTGAAAACACAGAGGGATTTAAGCAGAAAGCAAATTTCCAGGATACTGGGATTTTATCTTTACTTGTATGTACAAGAACTCTGAGCACTTGTATTTATATCAGTAATGGGTAAGGATTGTAGTCTCCAACCTTTTAAAGCACAAGATCACTTTTTGAAGTTAAAGTACAACCCAGGATCTACTTCAAAGAAAATGTAGAAACAATATTAACCACACAAACACCCTTGCCCTGCCCCATCTCCGAGGCCCCACCCCACTCATTCCATCCCCCCTCCCTCCATCACTTGCTTTGCCTGGGCTGGGCTGGGATTGGGGTGCGCAAGGAGGTGTGGAGTCTGTAAGGGGCTCCAGGAGGAGCCTGGGGCAGGAGGGTGGGGTGCAGGACGGGGGGCAGGGGGTTAG